ACACCTCACCCCACTTTTTCATGGTCTTCATAACTGAAGAAATGCAAAAGGCTTTGTAATTCTACTTGGCCCAAGTTCATGGCTTCAGGAAGGTTCCAGCCTAACTATGCTGTGTATTCCAGAAGCGCTTTTCAGGAACTGCTACCCCTCAGGGTGACTTCTAACAGCACTACAGGGGAATGAGTAAACACCAAAGGAAATTACATTTATCTTTGAGACCTTTCTACTTCCCAGATGAGACCATGTCTTCCTGTCTCACTTTCACATCCCTATCCCTTTGTGGTGTGTGGTCTTCTTAAAATGAGAGCTGTCCATTGTCTGTTCTCTTAGGCTTACACTTTCTCTTCTTCCTGCCACTGAGGTTCCAAGTTTTTTTTTTTTCAAAGTTTATTAAATTATGAAAGTTTCCATTTCCGCCCCCCCTCCCAACACCCTCTCACTCCCCCACTCCCGCTCCTCCTCCCTCTCCATCCCTAAGAGCAGTCAGGGCTTCCAGCCCTGTGGGAAGTTCAAGTTCCTCCCCCCTCCCTCCAGGTTCAGGAAGGTGAGTATCCAAACAGACTGGATCCCAAAAATCCAGTATATGCAGAGGAAACAAGTCCCAGTGTCATTGTCAATGGCTTTTCAGAAAGGCTCTGGGCCAGCCACATTCAGAGAATCCGGCCACATTCAGAAAATCTGGTTGGATCACATGCTCGTTCAGTCCCAGTCCAACTGGCTTTGGTGAACTCTCATTAGATCAGTCCCCTTGTATCAGTGGGTGATAGCACCCCTCGCAGTCCTGAGTTTTTTTTCATGTTCTTCCTCCTTCTGCTCCTCATTTGGACCATGGGGGGCTCAGTCCGGTGCTCCAATGTGGGTCTCCGTCTGTATCGCCATCCATCATCGGATGAAGAATCTATGGTGATAGAGGTTCCAAGTTTTAAATGATAGTGGGTATTGGAATTAAAGAAACCCGGGATGAAGATTACATCTGGAGAAGATGGATGTGTGAAAAGAGGTAGAATATAGGGAAAAAATATAAATTTGAAAATAATAAAAAGGTGAAACGTGTGTCCCCATAAGATATATATGGAAAATATGCAATCAAAAGATGTCCGTCATAAGTAGAGATGAGAAAAATATGAATTAAAATCATGAGGCTGTATTAACACATGCCTATCAGAGTGGCTAAAATGAAATACATAATATCTGTTTTAGTTTCTTTTTTGTTGTCATGACTTTATAAGAGAAGTATTCCATCTGGGGCTTACAGTTTCAGAGAGTTAGAATCCCTGACCATCCCGGGCTTTGTGGGGAGCATGGCAGCAGACACGTGGGTAGTCATGGCACTGAGCAGTAACCGAGCTAACATTTGAACCACACATATGAGGCCCAGAGAAAGAACTAATTTGAGTGGTGTGGGCTTTTTATGCTCACTGCCCATCCCCTTCAAGCAATTTGCAGGAGACCCATGGATATCTGATTAACTAATTAACTTTAGTAGCATAATTAAAAATTCAGCATGTATTTCCAGTGGGAAAAGTAGCTCCAATGTAAAGACTTTGCTCAGGTGTTCCTTATTCATGTCCCGAGTTATAGCTCCACCCTAAGATTCATTTTGAGTTCCCAGAAAAGAGAGAGATTTTTGATCTCTCTCTCTCTCTCTCTCTCTCTCTCTCTCTCTCTCTCTCTCTCTCCCCCTTTCTTTCTTTCTTCTTTATTTTCTCTATTTCTTTCTTTCTTTCTTTTCTTTCCTATTTTAGGTTATAATTTAATTGCAACATCTCTCCCTTCCTTTTCCTTCTTCCAAACCCTCCCATACATTCCTCCCCATGTTCCTTCAAATTTATGGCCTCTTCTTTTGTTTCTTTGTTTGTTTTTTCCAGTTCTCTGGTTATATCTTTACTTTCTCCTCCTTTTCCTTTTTAAAAATCAAGAATCATTGTTTTTTTCCCAATATCTTACTTGAATACTTTTACTAATCTAATTGTAAATGATTTCTCATAAATCTTTTCTTACTATGAAAGTTTGTGTTGGTGTTATGGTAGCTGATATAAGTAAGGAGTTATTCTTAATATTTAATATTATTTAGAAAAGGTGAATTGGGTCAGTAATTCCTTGTGATTCCTTTGTGTTTGTTTGTAGCCTTGAGTTACCAAGGTTTTATATGTAAATACACAGATTTTGAGCACATTGTTTTAAAAGAGTGGGTGTGAGCTTTGTTGACTTAACCATCAATTTAAGATCATAAACTGTTTGTCACAAGAAAATGGATTCTGAGGAATTTTCAGCTCTGTGCTTTAGTTTTATTACACACAAATTTCCCAGTGTAGTAATTTAAGTTTTCATTTTAATCACTAATAAATTACAAGAAATATTTCTTCAACGCTAAAGGTATGTGAAGAAAAAATAATTTACTTTGAGGTGACCCTACAAAGCTGGGGAAAAAGGCTTCCCAGCCAAGTGTGGTACCATTTGGTGGTATTAGAGTTCCCCAGATCCTGAGCTAACTTAGTGCTGAGACTTACTATTCTGGCTCTTAAGAAACCCAGATGGGCTGTACAGTCTTAACAAGTTTAACATTTTGTGACCTTCTGTGGTTGAAAGAGAATTGGACAAGAAGCCAGAATTCGTGGGTTCTAATCTTGGCTCTGGAACTAACCAGCTGCACAAATTTGAAAGTTAGCTTTCTCCTGTAATTCAGAATTATTGCCTATTAAAATTATGAGTTAGGCTAAGTGATTTCACAGGTCGCTTCCCTCTGTAACAAGTAAACCCCGGGATTAGAACACAGACATACTAACCAAGGTTACCTGACTAAATAAATTGATTTTGCTGATCTACATTTTTATTGCTAGTAAAATGACTTGGCTAACAGCAGAGTATGAGGAATAAATGAGCCAGTTCCTGCGCAAAGATTAACATATAATGAATGGGTGGTCAGTGAAGATTAGCTATTGTTTCTATGAGTCTGAGGCTAGCAATCTGAATACAGACAATGACTCTCTTAACAATGGTTCAGATTACAATAGACAGCATTTACCATGGTGGGAAATAATACACATTCAGTAGAAACTGTGTTTTCAGTTGTGAATTTACAACTACTCCTAGCCTAGTGATATGTGGTCCTCGGTGCTCTTGTTACTAAGCAGGTGCAGCAATCTACAGCCTTTGGTCAGCCATGACTCTATTGAGCTAAGCAAATAGCCCTTGTACTGCACTGTATTGCATAAGACATAATTTCTGTTTTAAATAATATGTAGTTTTCCTAACTTCTCCCATTATCGGCAAAATATGATTTCTTTTATTTCTGTTTTTCGGGGCCTCAAAAATGCCCAACAGGTATGTGCTACAAAGCTTCATTCCAAGGTCTCTCCTTTATAGGAGGGAGGGAATAAGTGAGCAGGGTTTGGGGAAAGGGGAGAGAGGGTGAGAGACACTAAAAGCAATGTGAATTTAACCTTGGTGTGATGGCTCTTCTAGTCTCAACCGGACTGAGAATGTGGCACATTGACAAAGTGATAGCTGTGAGTTCAAAACCAGTCTGGGTTACATAGTAAATTACAAACTAGCTGAGTTAAAAAGCAAGACCTTGCTTTTACAAAACAAAACCAAAAAACCACCACAACAAAAAACCAACCAATCAACCAAACAAACAAAAAATCACTTATCAACAACAGCAAAACCACCTTTTCACATATAAAAATAACATCTAGGCTTGTATGAAGTCACTGTTCTTACTCTCTTAAACATATTTCTTTGTTGGGCCTTTAATCTTGCTGGAATCACAGTTTCGTTGTAAAGGCTAAGTGGGAAAGGTTAGACATGTGAATTGATCTGTAGACTTCTAAGAGTCAGGTGCTAACTGGTTGTACCTTCAACTTCAGTCTAAGACCAACAGCCATTACTAAAAGTAAGGGATCTACAAATCTTAATGATACACTCCAACCTTAAACTAAGTGAAATGTTCCTGATGTTGGCAGACTCTCAGCAAGAGGCTCTGGAGAGCTCTCTCAGGCTCTGCTTTAGTTGGAGCTGTCTGTCTGAATTGCTCTTGAAGCACAGAGCAAACAGGCAAGGACAGTACTGAAAACATCTAGTCCCATGGGCACTTTATAAAATCAAATAACATAAGAAAGGTTGTAACAGAAAAGTATACAGTCCCTTGTTCTGTCCTTCCCTTATCTCAGCTCCATTTCTCAGAATAACTATTTCCATTGGTTCTATTTAGTTCATCTAGGGGTTGATCTATAGTCTATAAGACATGCTACTTTAACGACTATTCTACATGCAAATAGTGAAATCACCTTTCCATTTTTCTCATATGATAAGAAGTACAGGATTCTCAGTTATTATCACTCTAATTTATTACTCATAAACTTCTACTTAAATAATTTAAATGTTCATCTCTTAGTCTATCAATTATATACTTTGGTATTTCTACTCTGGGAAACGAAGACCATTTTCCACTTAAGTGTTCTCTTATATTTTCCTGAGAACTCATAATAATGTCTACAAAGTTAATATTGATGAATCTTGTCTATGGACTAATTTAAAACTATCTATAATTTATAAACATACACACGTAAAAATATGTATATGTAGCACCAATCAAGGGAAAAGAGGGCATCAATTTGAAAGGGAGTGGTGCAGAACATGGGTGAGGTTAGAGGGAGAAAAGGATGAGAAAAAAAGTGATATAATTATGTTTTAACTTAAAAGTTCATGCAAAGTAAATGTACATTCATCTTCAGAAGAAACAGGCTGTGCTGTATAGACCAGTAGTTTGTTACAGCTGCACTCGCTTTACTGCAGTGCGAACATGACCACTGTGCCACATAATGTACCAGCTTATTCTAGTAACAAGATTATCAGTTTCTATATAATTTACAGCTCACAAAAACTTCTGAACTGTGTATAGTTCATTATTCATTTGGATTACTTGTTTCATGTTTCTTGTATGGTTGTAATTATTTTCCTTCGAGGAGTTCTGATTGTATCATTTGATTCTTTTTCAGGTTTTGCACTTAGAGGATCATGTATCAGGGTGTCCTAGGTACTCATCAGAAGACTGGTGTTCCCTTGGCCAGAGGTCCTGTGGCTGTCTTTCAAAGTATCACACTAAGATGACTAACACAAAGTAAGGAGAACTAGTGTCTTAGTGCTCTGGCAATAGGATTCTGAAGAAGGCCAGAGGCCAAGGTTTGGACAAGGAGTGGGAGCAGGGGCTGAATCCCAGGCTTCCCTTTGCGTCTTGTTGTCAAGACAACAAACATTGCATTTACTGCTGTGGACACCATCGCCATGCTGCCTATCAAAGGCTTTGTAATGCAGAGCCACTCAACCTTGAGAAGATGGAGATGAAAAGAAGTATTTTGAAACACTTGGAGAATTTTTGATGTCAGGGCAGAGGTACTTAGAAGGTACTTCCTCCCCCACACAATGTGCTTTGTCAATATTTTTGATGCTCGGGACTCGTGAATGTTAATTACTTGGACTGAACCTTGGAAAACAAATTTACCTCTGTTCTGAGATATTTGATTCATCCCAAATCTTTCTAGAATGTCTAATTGAATGATCTCTGAGAAGGTGGCAATGAATGGGAAAAGATCACAGCTGGCTGACACATAATTGCCACTTGATTTGAGGGATATTCAAATATATTTCAAGCTGCCAGATGGTACGTGGTTCCGACTGCTATGCTGTGGGATCAAAGGGAATGACAACAGTGGCTGTTTCCTGCCTGTGTGATGGGGAGTGTCAGGGAGTGGGCATGGGCTTGAAGGCATTCTAAAATATTTCCAAATGCAATGACTTCAGCAAGATATAAATTGCTGACCTTTAAAAAAAATGTACTGTTTCTCTTCCTCAGTATGGCCTGTGATGTTCACAAGGGGTTTCAGCATGGGGGTGTAGACACTTCTTTCTCTTTCTTGTCCTTGCCAGACAAAGTCTTCTTTGTCATTAAATGCCAACCTTTGGAGAGAACAATGCAGAACAGGGAGAGAGAATGCCATAGTCCACCTAACAGCCCTTTGGGCTGAACTACAACATTGACACTGTAGGAATCACAGCTACCAGAGCCTGCTTAATGTACTGCCCAATGAATCCTTGCATGCAACCTCTTTTGCAAGAAAAAACTTTAAAATAGAATATATCTTCCTCTCTGATTGGTCCAGTGCAGTTCTATCAAGTGTGTAAGAAAGAATAGTAATTGCTAAGGTCTCCCAGTTCTAAGTAGTTTGGGTGCTGTGCATCTATGGCAGGCTTTTGCAGATCTCTAGGAAGGATTTTAGCAATGAGTCCTGACTTCTCTTAGGTCTGGAGAGAAAGGTTTGAAGATGTGTTTGGCAGTCACTGAGGTCTTGCAACGCTCAGTCTAACCATTATCTCACAAATGGCTCAATTCCATGTCTAAATCCATTCTACTTAAAGAAAAGTTAAGTAAACCTATCTTAGGAAATCAAATTCCCTGGGCTCTCAAGCTTAGTAACAACCAAACAGACTAGAATTTTTCCTATAAAGGTGAGGAAATTTATAATGTTTTCTAGGCAATGGGTAAGATTATTATTCTGTTTCAGCCTGGAGGACTCAGTAGCTCCTTTTGCCTGTCTGAGGAACTTCCTTGTGGAAAAGGGTTTTGACTTATTATGGGTAGTTTCAGGAAACAAAAGTCAGATCAATGAGTAGGCACTAAAACTCTCAGAGGCAATTCAATATCCAATTTTAAGCAAATCTATAAAATCAAGAAAGTCCTTTATGTAATAATTTAGTTCCCAATTTTATTTTCCTTTCAATTTTCTCTAATTTCTTCACTTGCTTAATTTAACTCTAATCCTATTCTATTTAATGGCATGCATTTTCTCCAAGTAATGGGACAGCATTAAACAGACAAATAATCAATGAAACTACAGCATGGAAGTAGTTCACATATTTAAAAAAAAAGTAAGGTAAAATCTGCGATTCTGTGACAGACATGGCAAGTTGTCACTCAGTGTATAATGACAACAGTGACATGCATATTGGGGGTTCTGCCATTTGGGGATGTTCACAGATTTAACAGTCTTTTCCAAGCTGATCAAAGGCTATAAAAGAGACTCCATTTCTTGTGAGTTTGTGGGATGTTGGGAAGCAATGAAGATCATTTGTCTTGTAAAGGAGCAGGATATAAAGATGAGACATGCCATCCAGATTCCATCCTGAACATGACGGCTAATTTGTGTTGCTTCTGCTAAAAATGGAAGGATAAAACTGACATTTTTTCAGCCGCTTGAAAAACGCCTATAGAACAATCAGAAATGATTATGCTTCGGGCTTGGAAGACAGCTGCTTTATAGGGAACGTGCCTCAAATCAGCTCTTTTAGGTTTGGGGCTAAAAATTGAGGCAGAAAAAGCAGAGGGGTTTGGCCACAGTGGTAACTAGTCAGCAACCAAGACAGGAAATCAATCTTAACTTCTTATCATTTGGTACAATTTGCCTTTCACCTCAATATGCTCACAGTGACACGAATGAAGGTGTGATCAAGTTGTAGCTGAATACATATCCAACTGGGTCATTTTGATAAGCGTTTCTCAAAACAAGCGAAATCCAAGCACTCTCTACAATTGCAGCTAATGGAAGTCATGTAATCTTACTCCATGCTGCTGTTCAGCGGGCCACACAGAGGGCCTGCATACAGCCATAGAAAGATATTCAGCTTAAAAATAAATCCAATCTGAGTCCTGTGTTAGATGTAATCACAGTATAATCCTGACATAATTATTGTATTTTCTGATACTCCTTTTGGAGATAAACAACTATTTGTCATCCCTTTGAGTTTTCCTGTTTCCCATTAGTTTTGTGTTAATAACTGGTATAGGAAGCTCATGGTCCAAATTTATTGAGAGAGAAAGACATTTGCTGTTTCCCAAGGGATGAGGGATGCAGCTAGCAGGCAGAGATGCTCCAGCTGTAGTCACTGATATTCATGGGGTTTTCAGAAATGTCAGAAACTCGATATAAGAGAATCTGGACCAATATGTAAAATTTTAAGGGCAAAAATCTCCTAGTTTTATATTTCTTTTAAAAATATGATTTTATTTTATCCAAATAAACCTTGATAATGTATTTATCATTCAAAGTGCATTTGTACTACAACTTTGATATTAGAATATAAGCGGAGGTTATGAAGGGTGAGCTACATTTTTAAAATACTGTTCCTTCCCTAAATTCTAAATGCTCTACATATAACCATCCCACAAAGATCATGGCTGTTTGATTTTCAATACACTGACCTCTTGCTTGTTTAATCATGAGATTTCCAGAGCCAACGTGATGAGTGCGGGAGTATAGATGTGAGTCAGTTCTCCAGAGAAATAACCTGGACAACCCGCAGCAGTGGGGAGCCCAACGATGCATTTATGAAGATTTGACATGCTTAGAAAATAATGAATTAGGTAAGACTGTTTAGAGCACCAAACCCTGGGCATGTGCCTCCTGGATGCAGACAAGCTAGTTAAGATCCTTGAGTTTGGCCCTGGAAAGCCTCCTTTCTCCTAGTGGTCATTCAAAGTAAGCCATCAGTTCCGAAATGATCAAGCCTAATCTATATTTCAATGCACATCCTATTGGTATTCATTTTCTTTTAAGAACTGAAATTAAAATCACCATCATGCCTGTCTCTTTCTTTAGTTAAGAAGTTAAATTGACTGTCCATGTCGCATGAAGCGTTTTATTTTGGGCCACAGCACATGGTTTACCAAGCAGGACATGTTGTCTAGAGTGATTGCAGCCAAGGTAGACTATGTATGGCGCAACAGAAGGCAGAGACACCTTGTGACCAATCAGTTGCTTTTTTAAGAGACAAGAACAAAAGAAAGATTGGAGCTGAACACTGTGAATGCCTTACCCGTGAGCCCAAATGTTGCATCGTCTCAAACTGTCCGAGTGCTCTGAATGAGGTTATTGCACTCATGAAGCTCTCTTTGATGCCAAAATGACACGGGCTCAAACCACCATTTCATCTCAAATTCTCTCGTAATTGTTACCTGTTGTTGGTTTTGTTTGTTTGTTTTTTGAGACACAGTTTCTTTGTGTAGTTTTGAAACCTGTCCTGGAACTCACTCTGTAGACCAGGATGGCCTCAAACTTACAGAGATCTACATGCCTCTGTCTCTGGAATGCTGGAATTAAAGGCGTGTGCCACCATCACTTGGCTATTGGTGTAAATTTGGTATTAAAAAAAATGTCTTAACCTCAGTTAATGTATGCTCTAACACTTTTGTGATAGACAAGGTTGTTTTCTATTTTTTTCACATCTGCCATTTAGTCTTCTGAAGGTGGTCATTGGTAACAGGGTTTCACGGTAACAGGGTTTCACTATCAGCCATGAATGTGAACTTCATTGCAGGACTTGCTCCGGTGATAGGATGAAAAGGAAGTCAGCACTGGGCCAGTCCTCGGATCAGTTGGTTCATTTATTCGTTTGCTTGTTTGCACATTTGCTCCTTCCTTCATTCCTTCCTTCTTTTAAACTTCCTTCCCAAGTATCTTGTACTGTAGACTGGCATTGACTTCGTTATAGATCTAAAGAGTAACCATGAACCTCTTATTGTTCTACCTCAAACCCACATCCCCTAAGTGCTGGGATTACAGGTAGATGTGCCACACTCATTTGACCTGGAAAAGACTTGAAACGAACTTTTAAACTCCTGTGATGTGTCATGAAATACAAATCCTTGTCCCCAGGAATTCAGTGTCTTACTAACATAGAATGATCTAGAATAATATATTAGTATATTATATTTACATATATGCCTATAATGATTATATTAATATATTAAAATATATAATAAAACATGTTATATATTATAGATATCCAGATTATTCTATGTATGTTTTCAGCTCTACACATATTTATCTATACATCGTGTGCCTATATGATGAAAATATCACACGGATTTCGAAAATCCGACTTCAGGTTGAAGCAGAGACTGCTTAGGCAACATATAAACCAGCTGGGTAGAAAATGAACTTTGCATGAAAGATTATTTCAGTAACAAGACATGATTGATTTATTAGGTGTTACTTCTGATATAGTAGGTGTGAAAAATCACTAGCTCTCTCCTTAAATATTTCAACACTTGTGACTGTTTGAATGATAAGTATAAATTGTACAGAGGAGGTGAAAGTGGACAAAATTGGGTAATGTATCTCAGCTGTTAAAGGAGCGATGGAGCGGGGGAAGGAATATCAGGGGAGTACATATGAATGCATGGGTGTTCAGAGATGAGAAAGGACAAGTGGGGATATTAGGGCCCTTAAAAAGACACTGGATAATGAAATTACAGCAAAGGATCATTATGGCATAAAATCTGCAGGCACTGAAGAAGCAATTCTTGAACGCAAAAATCAAAACTCTGTTTGGGAACTGTTTCGCCTACATTTTATTTACTCTGCTCAGCTCCTTTGGCTGCGTGAAGACTTTAAAGACAGGAGTTTATAAGCTCACTGGGAAGATAAGACCCACAGCCACACAAGCAAACAGTAATTACACCTCACAGCCAGCACAGCGAATGGGAGAAAATACACAAAGCACCTGGCCACTGTCTCACGCGCAGCAAATGTCTAATACAATCTGCTTGTTTTCCTCCTGGCTTGACACAGAAATACTGGTGACTGTTCCCGGGCCAGAGCTAATGGTATGTGTTTGCCTGCTTGACTGTGGCTTCATAGGGGTGGAGTCAGTACTTCCATACTAGCTCACTCTCAGCACTCTGCATGAGACCTAGGCAAGCACAGAAAGAACCTCCTTCTCGTTGTTTAAGAAGGAACACTGAAGGCAAATAGACAAAGGCTCCTCAACTCTTCGGCTCACTCACTGGTATTTATCCATCCTTGGCTCTCCTTACTACACCACCCAGCGTGACTGCGGAATCTATTAACCTTGTTTTTTGACACTTGCAGTCAGCCTGCTGAACATTTCTGCTTCTTCATGCTGAACTTCACCTTCTTGTCAAATTAACAAGAAATCTATTCATTAATGGGAAAAGTCCTTTAAATAAATACAGGGTTTATTTGCTTCATTGATTTCCGTGATTTTTACCTAGAAGAGAAAAGATTGAGTGGGTCTGGATTCTTGCCTCATGCATTCCAAAAGGAAAAGGCAGACACCTTTGGCTTTGCCATGAACAGCCCTCTAAGGTACTTTAAAGCAGGCAAGTGAGGGTGTGTGCTGTGATCTGCAGAGGACACTGGGAAGAATTAGGTACCCTCCCTGCATTTAAAGAGGTTACTGTCTAGAAAAGAAGTCAAACAAACCAAAAGCAGAACGTTAATGTAAAGGCCTCAGATGACATTTAGTCACAGAAAGTGTTTTACATTCCAGAAGGTCTCAAGAGAAACCATGTGCCTGCTGTCAAATAAAACCAGGAGGGGGAGAGAGTTTGTGGCATAGTGTAACACCTGGAAGCTTGGCCAGTGCCAAGTATGAAAGTTCCATCTTGAAGAAGGATTTTCTTAGTGGGGAGAGTCTACACCGTAAACACTAAGTGTTTTCTATATGCTTTAACAGCCGACACGGGTATTATTCTATGTGTTAATCAGTCTTCTAGAAGTTTCCCCAAGCACCACACGGTACTAGAGTTTCAGGGTATTCCACCACTACTGTCCTGGACCTGGGCTTAGTAATTAAGAGGGTTTACTTCGGAGAGCTCTAGGAAGCTTCTGGAGTCAGAGCTGTGGAGTGCAGAGGTTGCTTGTTGGAAAGCTGAGCACTTTCTGGTTCCGCATGACAATCACAGAGAAACGATAATTGTTGATCCCTGAAATGGGTGACTTTAACCGTTGATGTTTAAGCAGGTGACAAGGTTTCTTGTTCAGTGTCATTTTCCTGCCTCCATCCAAACTGCTTGTCTGTATCTCCTTGTGCTACAATTTTCTCATTAGATAATGAAAAACAATATTATATCTTAAGAACCATACAATTTTAGCTCTATATTTATGAAACTTGTGATAGATCAGAATTTTATATAAAGGACTTTCTTCATGGTGGGTAATCAAAGCAAATTTTATAAACATTAATATTTTTAAAAAATATCTACAAATATCATATAAGCACATGGGAGTATAATAGATAAATGCAAAAAAGAATACCATTACTACATAATAAAGCTGAGTGTTTTCTTTCTCTAACTTTAGTTTTCTTTTGCTATTCCTTTCAGCTTGTGTCTAACTTCAGTCTAGTAGTAGCTTTGATAACATGTTTTCCAGCAGGGGTAGGAGCTTGGTTCTGCTTCAACTTGATGTGTCATACTTTGTTGACTCCTGTGGGAGATCTGTCCCTTTCTGAATGGAGACAGGGAAGGATTGAATGGGGGAAGGTATAGAAGGGAGGTCGTGGGAGGTCATGAGAGTAGAGGAGGAAGGGGAAATTAAAAAAAAAAAACAGAGTAACTGTTTCCATTAAATTATACCTGAACAACATGTGCTGAATCCAGTTAATACAGTCCCACAGAGCTCATAGCAAATCTTTCAGGTATTATATATACCAGTTGTTAATCAAAATTATCATTGTAAATTAAATCACATAGAGTTAAAGATAAAATGAATTATTCTAAAAGCAAAGGATAGTACTCCCTAATATCCATCACTTTCTAACTATTTGGCTTATTCTTTGAGGTATTTACACCTTTGAATGTATAGTTGTAGGTACTTTTTAAATTCATATGTGCATATGACATGTATGTGTGTTTGTGTGTAGGAGAGTTTGTTTGTGCCACAGCTCCTGAATGGAAGTCAGAGGACAAACTGACTTGTCAGTTCTCACCTTGGGTTTTGTTTGATATGAGAAGTTTTGTTTACTGCAACATAAGTCATGCTAGCTGGCCTATGAGCTACCAGAGATGTTCCGGTTCCACCTCCCTTCTTGCTATAGAAATACTGGGATTACAGACGTCTGTTACCATATCCAGTTTTACATGGGTTCCAGGGATCTGAACCCAGGTCCTCATGCTCTTACTCACTGAGACACATCCCCAACCCTGCAGACAGTGTGTAGCATGAAGCGCCTGCATATGTCTTTCTAACTCAGAATGATTGATGTTCCTTTGGCAGACTAAAGTTAGCCATGGTGAGGGCATTGTGCCATAGGGATCTGCAAATGCTTTGATAAGAGTTTGATTTATAATTTTGTTGATTGTCTAGGCTTAGACAATGATGAAAGTGGTAATAATGAAGATGAAACTTAATCATATGTCATGTTTAGTGCTGAAGCTGAAATTTATATTTAATGGATATAATTTGTAGAAAAATGAGAACTAGTTAAATCATAGACCACATATTATGTTAAATGATAATACACTTATTGATAAAATGATTACTATTTTGGATGATATTCTAATTGCTAAATCATGATTGAATTGTACTATAGACTAACTACATATAAAAGAATGCAGAATTTTAAAACAGTAAAAAGCTAATGAGAATGTTCAATGCCAATAAATTGGTACATGAAATTTAGAATAGTCTCATGCTATGTTTTATAAGCACTGTGATACAAATACTTTGTTATCATTAAAATTATAATAAGGTGAGGCACACACACATTTATTTTTTACCAGAGAACTGGATGTTAAACATTTACTAGTAACTATTCCACAGAAAAATAAAATTATTTTCTCTCCCTAAATAGTAAATACTTGAAATAAGACAGGTCTTACCCAGACATTATTTAGCTAAAGAATTCTTTTACTGTATTTTTTTTGGTACTGAGAAAAAATGTAAAATATAAGAGAGCAAAACACTAATCAGTAGATTTAAAACAGTACTTGGTAAGTGTGACATTTGAAGGTCACACTTAGTTCTTCACTAAGTGCCGTGACATGGCCAGCTCAAGGGTAACGTGATTGCAAATTAAATTCAGCACAAGTGTGTCCAAGTATTTACTGTTTTTCTTGTGACTCACAGCTTTAAGAGTTTTGGATTTTCACACTCCTTGGGTTAGAGTCAAAGATTTTAGGCTTAGCATGGAATTTAGAAGGCATATGGGGCCCTTTTCATCCCCAACACGGAGGCATGTGGAGTGTCTGATATTCCTGTTTTAGATCC